GTAGAGGTGATTGCCCATTACGGTGGTGGTGTTGTTGAGGAGGGCGGTGATTTCGGCGTCGGGCTTGTCGTGGAGGACCTCGAGGAGGAGGTCGGTGTTGTTGCGGCGGCAGGCTTCGATGAGGAGCTCTTTGATCGAGGCGCCCTGGCTTTTTTGTTAGACTGGGGGGGGAGGGTTTGGATGTGGGGTTTTGTTGGCTTTTTTTACCTCGTGTTCTTCGTCGGCGGCCATGGTGGTGGTTGTGCTGGTGGGAGATGGGATTTGGGGGATCTTATGGGCGGTTGGTGAGGAAGATGTGCCTTTAAGTGATGATGTGGTTTTGTCTCACCGTCGTTGGTTCAGTTTGGAGGGGCATTTGCGGTGGGGGGGTCACCCCGGCCGTCAGGTGGATGGTTCTGCCTTGGTTGGCTGACAGCTTTGGAACCCCACTGCTGAATTTGGATTGCCTTTGAACTACCAACATTGGACTTTTTTTATTAAAAAAAAATCCCTGGGCGACAATCAATCCTTCACCTGCGACAAACTTTATGCGCACGCAAAGCCTTGGCATACGATAGATTTAATTGCCGGTGTCTCTTCGCAAGGTAGCTACTGCACCTGTGATAGTTTATACGGCCAACGGAGTCCTAAATAGCCCACCATGCTGCTCTGTACGTTTTCCCACCTTAGGTACCCCGATTTTGACGGACCAGGACGAGGATTCCCCAAGGGTGCTAATCGTTAAATAGTCTGCCCGCAATGCGCCAACATCCTCACCGTGTCCCTGACAAACCAGCGCACCAACCGCCTAGAGTGCCGCACCTGTCCGTTTGAGCACACAATCACCGAGCCCGTCTTCTCGCGCCGCGTGTTTGAGCGCAAGGAAAAGGAGGACGTCTTTGGCGGGCCGGGCGCGTGGGATAATGCGCAAAAGGGCCGGGCGCAGTGCCCTGCCGAGGGGTGCGACGGCGACGAGGCCGCGTTTTTCCAGGTGCAGATTCGAAGTGCGGATGAACCCATGACCAGCTTCTTCAAGTGCATGACTTGTGGGAATCGGTGGAGAGAGAATTAACGGGTATTTTTCTTCTTTCTCTTTTGGACGTCTGCCCCGTGTGTATGTAGGATTTTGTGGTTGGGGGAATTGGGGGATTTGTATTTGGCGTTTTGAGACTTCTAGAGCCTGGGAGCGAACTTTGGTGCATGCTCTTTTTTTGTTTGTGGCTGGGTAGGGGATTCTCCATTCTGACATTCGTGTTCTGAAATTCTTGTCCACATGCTCGTGGATGACTTGGTAGACCGTGACGCGGTTGACGTAAATCACTCCCGGTGCCACTGCACAGAAGCCTTCATCTCGTCCTCTGCCAACTTCTGCACCAGGTCGGGGCTCATGATATCCTGTCGAAACCGCTCTTCCTGGAGGAGCTCGAGGTGCTTGAGCGTCGGGCCCGGGTACGTCAGGTATTTGAGATATGGCGGCTTCGTCCAGTACTGCAGGTAGGCGAGGTAGGCGACAAAGGCCGGCTGCGTGAGGAGTTTCTGAGAGGCGAGGTGGTTGAGGTAGAAGGGATTTGCGAGGGACTGGACAAACTGTGGACGCGTCAGGCTTCAAGATTCTACGCAGGGATTTCGCAGAGGAGGAGAGAGGGCTGCTTGTACCTCTAGTTCAATCTCGAAGCGCGAGTAGCCGCCGTACATGGGCTCGTCGGTGGGCGGCGCAGGAGGGGAAGTGTCCATAGGAACGTCTTTTGAAGCGTCGGTTGCCATTGTCGCGAGAGACGGGGAAGCTGCGTCGGTTGTGGCCGTGGTTGGCGTCGAGGCGACGGAGGAAAGACGAGTGTAGGGAAATGCGAATTGGATCGGGGAGAGAGATGGCACCGGCTTGGCCCCACATGTTCAACTACATCTCACTCAAGGCACATCTCAGTCCTCCGGCGTGTTCTTCACATATAATGGAATATTTGCCCCATCCGCCCCGAGTATCGTATACGTCTGACATCTTCCAGCCCTCTAATACTCTTTTCGCACCTAAACAGGACAAGACTTTACGCCAGGCAGCCAACAACATGCCCACCGCAGCCCAGCTCACACCTTCATGATATAAAACCAAACCACCAACAAATACAACCCAAAGAAACACCACCAACTTGACCTCGCAATGTCGAGAATCAAAACCCGCATCCTCGCCATATCAGATACCCACGCAACACGGCCTCACCCACCGCCAGCCCCCAACGAATTCGAAATCGCCGACCTCGTCCGCGTCACCACCGGCTACAGAGACCCCCTACCGCCCGCCGACCTCGTCCTGCACTGCGGCGACCTCACAAAGCGCAGCTCCATTCCCGAGTATGAGACCACCTTCTCCATGCTGCGGTCTCTAAACGCACCTCTGAAGCTGGTCATTGCCGGAAACCACGACCTCTTACTAGACCCCACGTACGACTCGGATCCAGAGGTTGAGCAAGAGTCACGGGCCGTTCAGGACATTGTGCAGGACGCTCAAAGGGACGGCGTCCTGTATTTGACAGAGGGCACGTACGAATTCGCCCTGGAAAACGGCGCCCTGATCAGAGTATACGCAAGTCAGTACACACCCACCTATGGCGGGTGGGCATTCCAGTACCCCGACCATCATGACTTTGCTCTTCCGCCCGGCATAGACGTGGCCATGACCCATGGTCCACCGTACGGCGTGTTGGACGAGGCGGGCATATCCAAGAGATTGGGCCAGCCGCATCACGCGGGATGTGAGTATCTCTTCAAGGCGGTTGCGAATGCAAGGCCGCGCATTCATTGCTTTGGCCATATACACGAGGGGTGGGGGGCTTATCGGGGTACATGGCTCGATAGAGACGAGCCGGGGTTCTCAGTGCCTCGGCCGACCAAAGAATGTGTTATGGACGAGGCTATGTCGGGTCCGATTCAGACATTAGACGGGTTGCGACCAATGTTTGCCGCCGACACAGAAGGGAGATCTCCGGAGGCAAGACAGAAGTTGGCACACCTCAGCAATCAACGCGGGTACCATATTGACTTGACAGAAAAACATACACGTGTTGATCCAGGGAAGCAAACCTTGTTTTTCAACGCATCAATCATGGACATGAGATATCGACCGTCACAATTACCGTGGATAATCGACATGGATCTACCAAACGCCGAGAACAAACAAACTTCTATTCACTATACCTCGCGATGAGAACGCCTTGAACGCAACCAATCTCTCACGTCACAATGAGGTCAACATTTGCGCTTCACACCATATAGACGGTAGTAATTGGGTTCATAAATTAGACGTGATATTAATTAGTTGTCCAGAAGTATTGGACTACATTCTGAATATAAAAGACACCGTGTACCCTTTTTCGCATTCCTTCTGCTAATGTGTCCCGTATTATTCATGTATCATTCGGAATAACAGCCCTTAGACTAGCCTCATCGACAAGACATGGGCTCTAACATTTCTAAAATGCAATTGCTTACAGAGCCAAAGCGGCAGCAAGGACGGCAGCCAGAGCGCCGACAACGGGACCAGCAGCAGCAGCACCAGTGGTAGTAGGGACAGTGCCAGAGCCGGACCTGGTGGCACTGCCAGAACCACCCTGGGAAGAGGTAGGAGCCTTGGTGGTGCCAGTAGCTCCGCTGGTTGAGGTAGCGGTCTGGTTCTTGCTCTGAGTAGGCACACCACCGGTGCCAGTGGACAGGGTAGAGACGACAGGAGCAGAAGAGCCTGTGGCAGAAGCAGAGCCAGAGTGCGACTCAGTAGCTGAGCCGGTGGCAGTGGCAGAGGCAGATCCCGAGGCAGAGCCAGAACCAGAAGCAAGGGCCTTGCACTCCTCAGCGGCGACGGACTGAGCCTTGATGAGAGCGCTGGTGTCGCACTTGTTCTGGGTAGCACACTGGGTAACGGGGGCGAGAAGCTTGGCCTGTGTCTCGGGCTTGCAGGCGCAGGCAGCGATCTCAGCTTCGGTGCCAGTGCAGCCAACCTGGGGGAAGGCCTTCTCGATGCAGGAGCGCTGTGGAAGTACATGGTCAGTCCATTGAACCATTTCTCGCCAGGTGGGACAATCATTCGAGGGTCAACATACAACGCAGCCGTCGACGCCGCTGAGGTTCTGGGCGGCGGCGAAGCCAGCAACAGCGAGGGTAACGAAAGTAGCCTTCATTGTGAACGAGGGTGATTTGCGGTAGAGTACGTAGACGACGAGTCGGGTTTGTACAAGAATTGACAGCTGAGGCGTTGCTTGGAGACGATTATAGCACGAGAGGATGGAGGAGAAGAGAGAGCAGGGCTGCGTCGTGAAGGGAGGGTTGGCCAAGGGGCCTTTTAAACAAAGGTGGCAAGAGCTGTTCGCGAGTCTCGAGCGTCGAGCACCAGGATGAGCACACTATTCACTCGAGGACGGAAGATGTAATTTGGGATGGGCCACAGGTACTGGACCAGGCGCCAGCACATGCCCCGGCCGTACCCGTGCCGGCAGGCGAGTGAGAAAAGATACGAGATCAGCAGGAAATCCAGAGTGTCTGGGTACTTTGAGCCATACCCCTGCCCGGGGGTCTGGCAAGGTTTTTTTGCTTTGATTTCGTCGTCGGCCAGACAATCATTGCTCCAGGATCGAGAGTCCACAGCCTCCGCATCCTCCTCCTCCATCTTTCTTCCCTCCCTCCAAGCTACCAGCTAGTTGCTCCACTTGAGCATGTTCCATCACGCTGCCAACTTGCCAGCTTGCATCCAGATGGACACGCAGAGAGCCCCAGAGATGATACATGGGGGCCTGGGTTCGGCCACTCACCAGTCGAAATTGGCTGATGGCCCCGAGGCATCGCAAAGCAATACTGTCCCAATCCGTGGCTCCAGCCGTGGCGTCTGGGCCCCTGAGCCTTGCCTCATTATCCCGGGTGAGTGAAGTATTTCATCTCGACTGTTCCTCGGGGGTACACGGTTATGCCTGGTCAACGGGCGCCCAAAAAAGTAAAGAAGAGAAAAAAAGAGTTTCCAGGCTGGTACGGACCACTCGGGGTGGAAAGCTTGTGCCAAAAACTGAGGGGGGCTGGCGACGATCCGACGCGAAAACAGGGACATACTTTGGGCTAGCATCGTTCTAGTTACCGCGATGGTGAACCCCGTACTCCGTAATCAAGGGCCGCTTCCCTTGAGCCAACTTTAGAAGCAGTCTCCAGTATTTTCTGCATGTACAGCCACAGCTTAAACACCCGGCCAAGGGGGAAGAGAAGCTTCTCGCCACGCAATCCCCTGGTTTCTTCACGCCGTGTACGGAATCCGCCCCATGAGTCGAGCTTATGAGGGCTCAATGCGAAACTCTGAGGCAATCAACATATTGTCGACAAAGGCGGCCTGGGAACGAAATTCAAGGATGCTGGCAAGGGGTATCGCAATAAAAAGAACCAGTTCTAAGAGCACCAAAAGTCAATACTAACAGAAACCACGCTATTGTTGGTCGCAGGCCGGCGCCGTCCACTGATCCCCCCTTGTCAGACAGTCTCTCCTGGTAGATTGGACTTCGGACAGTTGCATACCTGGCTCAAGTTTCGGGCCACGCGGCATTCATTACCGCCGTCACATTGGCCTACATACGGAGTAATAATAATACTCTGTGCTCTGTGCTCATAGTCACGTATCCGTTGGCAGGCACCGGGCTTCGAAGCACGAGGGTGCTGCGACATGACCAGTGGCACGAAGATGACCTCGTTTCCGGCTTTCTTCAGCTCTTCGTTATACTAGCTACATCGATCAATCCCGCACGAAACGTATGCCAATTGCAACCGGAAATACTCCGTACATAACTTACCGTGCACAAAGAAACACATGGTCCTGCAGCACAAGGCGTTTCTGTACGAGTGTACAACAGGGAGGAGCATGGGAAGCCTTGTCCGTGGCCCAACGTAACGGAAACAGCTCAACACGAGAAACGCCAGCCCACCATCATGCAGGTAGTAGCTAGCATCGTTGCGCTGCCCACCGATCGTCGGCAGCGACGTTCCGCCGCACTCCAGACTATATTAGTGCTCCTTACGAGACATGGATGTACAATCCAACCAGGCCCTGCAAGTTTAGCTGGGTTCATGAACGCCTGAGTGGAGCACGGATGGTGGCCGACTGGGAAGATGCAAATGTCATCGCCCAGCCTGAACGAGAAGGATTCGGTTCAAGCATCAGGCTGCTTCATCTGACGCTGACATGATGCTGCTCATGCTCATCGTCAGCCAACCCAACAATCAAGCGAATATCCAAGGTCATCGAGACGGAAATAGAACATGATGCGCTGTACAACCAGCCCACGCGGGTGCGGTGGATCTCGAGCCTTGCTCACCCAGCACAAAAGAAAACAATTTTGTGACGACTCCCTTATAGTTGTTGCTATTCATTCTCTGTATACGGAGTAATTTTTTTTCCCTTCAGATCAGCCAAAGGTTATGCAGGGTCAAGGCGAGGCCTCTGTTGTTGCACAGCCTGCTTGCTCGGTCCGTACGTAATACTACATGTCCACCAACCTGCAACATAACGAGCATCAAGACAGGTCATTATCATGTCAATGCCCCTGGTCACTTGTGGCGCCAGCCCAACAGCCAAGTCCCGTCAAATCATCCCAGTTGCCGCGCAGCCGCTAGCGAAAAAAAAAAAACAAGCCTTTGACTCCCGCTCTAGCTGCAGCATTGGACATGGTCTAAGAAGCTTCCTGGACTCCGCCCTTTGTGTTGCTTGTGTAACAAAGGGCCCCTTGTGGCCTTTGAGGCGACCGAAATCCATTCAGCTCGTCCGCAAACGGACGCCAGAAAAGCGTATTGTTTTCTTTTCGTTCTGATGGTCTGTTTAATACGGCATGGTTGTGTTGACGCTCGAGTGCTCGACGGCTCAGATGATCATCATCTCCCCTTTCGAGGTTGGACGAAAGCGCCGACTGCATTCCATGCGGCTAGCCCAATTGAGTCGCAGTGTGTCCAGATTATGCCAGCATGAACGACCTGTTTCTGATCCGGTTATTGATTGACTGTGACTTGCCCAACCAACTACGGATTGGCGTGGAATTGTGCTTTAAGAGGGCGAATCACTCGGGCACCGCAATACGTCAAGGGCGGAAAATATCACGGTCTTTTGACTGCGGTTCGACCGTGTCGATCCTGCCCAATACCTTTGCTGCAACGCCCGACGCCGTCAAACCCAGCTACGGAGCACAGGGCAGTACTCCGTACGGAGTTGTAATTTTGAAAGCCCACCGCAACGCATGCAAGTGTCTCAAACCACTATGATTTTTGCATGCATTTCCATTTAAAGCTGCCCGTACATAGAGACTCCGCGTCTGCCACCAAAGGGTCATGCAAAGCATTCATCGTCTTGGGATGCCAGCAGAAGACGGCGTCGGCCCTGTTGTACGTCGAGATTTGCATACAGCTCCGTGTATACGTGCCACATGTTGGGCAAAGGATATATTCGATGCGCAGAGTGCTTGACAGGCATCGTCATTTAATACCCAGAAGTCAGGACACATACATATAGTGTAGTTTGTGAAAAATGCGTGCCTAGTCAGTCGGCTCTACGCTACAAATGACACCAGATAGTATGCTATTCCCCTCCTCTCAGAACAGACGGATTAATTATATTGGTGCACAGCAGTATTAGTATTACATACATGATCATTACGGCATCTTTTCTTCTTTTCCCCCCATCATGTGCTTCATCTATCATTCCACCTCGTCCTACTCATAATAATTGGCCGGGCAGGATCCCAGGGGCCCCGAATCTCATTCTTGTACTTTTGCAACCCAATCAGCCACCAACTACACCCACCCGTGGCCAGCGCGGCAATCACAACGGAGAGGATCATGCCGACGATGCCGCTCTTCCACGGCCACCTCCGGCCCTGGACGGCGCCCACAACCATGCCCACGCCCAGCCCGGCGCCCAGGACAAGAACCACCGTCTGAAGGACGTGGTATCGCCAGCTGCGGTGGCGGATGTGCCGTCTGAACACGGGGAACAGCCCAAACACCTCGATGCTGAAGAGGGTCAGGCTAAAGACCTGTCCGGTGGAGGGCAGGCGGCTGGCGAGCACGGTGGACGCCATGAGCGCGGCATTGGTCGACAGCGACGCGGGGAACTTGGCGCCCACGCCGCCCGAGTAGTCAAAGAAGAAGATGTTGATGGCGAGCAGCCAGAAGGAGATGGCCCAGATGCTGTCGCTGCTGGTGGACTCGGTGAGGGATCTGAGGATGGGGCTGAGGCCCAGGAGCGTAGACCAGATGAGCAGCGCCGACTTGATGGTGCCGAGGCGCTGGTGCGTGCGGCTCTCGTCGAGCGGCACGAGGGGCTCGCCGCTGCCGCCGCCGAGGGCCTCGCTGCTCGTCCTGGGCGTCAGGCGCGACGGCGACGCGGACGCGG